GCGCGGGGGGGTCGGGGTCGGTCGAATAATCAATTATTATTCGCCAGGGCTGCCGAATAATCGATTTTGATCATGGTCAGTTTCTGGCAACCCTAGTAGAAACCATGTTTCGGTAATAGCCATGCTCTCAACGTCAACCCAAACTGATAGAAAGATTGGGACGTTTCTGTCATGAGGCTCCTGGTCACCTGGTTTCTCGTGCCAAGGTCTTTTTGTTTCTGTCTGCAGAAAAAGGTGGATGCCAGTAGCCTCACTGCAGAGTCCAAGCGTTACATGGAGCGTCTGGTCAAACTGGGGAGAAGGAACGGTCTCCACCTGCCCAAAGAGAAACAAGAGGTGACCAATGTTTTTTTATCAATTACCTTTTGTTCATGCAGGGAAACTTCACTGAGATCATTACTCTTCCACGAACCCACCCAGGAAAGGGTCAACATTCATATGATGCCAATCTTAATTTGTAACAGATACTTTTTTTGTTGTGGTTATAAAGCTTTACCACACAGAGTATCCCTTTACAATATTTTTGGATAAAATCCTGTATGATGTAACTCTGATTCTGTTACATTTCTGGAACAGGAGATCAAGACCATCAAAAAGAAGCTGAGCAACCTGTGCATCGATTTCAACAAGAACCTGAACGAGGACACCACCAGTCTGTCCTTCACCAGAGAGGAGCTGGGTGAGTTTTGAGCTTCACACAGTCGGCCTCGTCTTCCTCTCTCTGTGTACTCACACATGTGGTGGTGTTGCTTTCAGGCGACCTCCCAGAGGACTTCCTCAGCTCTCTGGAGAAGGATGGAGAGAAGCTGAAGGTCACCCTCAAGTATCCTCATTACTTCCCCACCATGAAGAAATGCAACATCCCAGAAACCCGCAAGAAGCTGGAGGAGGCCTTTAACTCCCGCTGCAAAGAGGTGAGACACAAAGTGAAAAAGTTATTGTCTTTCAAGAGGTTTAGATTTTTAAATAATTTGAGTCAGTTTGTGCTGTTTTTTCTTTGCCAGATCGTGATAATCTGAGCGAAGCTCTGATCGCCAGAAGAGTTTTTCATAGTATAGAGCACTTCACAGTCAGTGAAGGGTTAGAGATTACATAT